TGCAAAAGCATTAAATGTTATAGATGAAACACACAAAAAAAAATTTTGCTATCCTTTTTTTTGAAAAAAAAAAAAAAAAGAAAAAGAGAAATAGGAAACTTTACTTAAAAAAGATGTCTCACGAAGATTTATAACCAATCCGCGTCTTCACTTTAAACCTTAAAAACAAAAAGAATTTTACCCGGAAGCAAGAATAAATCTGTACGTCAACGAAGTGAAAGTCATTTTCAGCGTTCAATGACAGGTCTAAATTCACGTGCATTCACACATTTTATACCAGAATTCTCAACGACTTTCGAAAATGAAAATGACCATAATTAATTTTCATTGTTCTTTACTAGACCGTTGAACTCCCATCGGATGTATCACAATTCATGAAGTTATTATTTGCCAAGAATTATATAAGATAACGGTGTTACTGCTTAAATAAATTACAGTTTCATGATTGTGTCACAATTAAAGAATTCAAAACTCGACTTTTATCAAATTAATAAATATGCTACATACTCATGTTGCGCAAGCAGGTTGTGTAATTAACCATCAAAAGAAATGATGCATAGAAAAAAAAAAAAAAAACTTTTTGATCCACAGAAACAATTAATAGAAAGGAGAAAATTTCACGATTTTTTAAAATAAGATTGGAGGAAGATATTCTTATTATACACCTAAAATGTAATATTAATAAATTTTGATGTTTATTTTTATTAATTTGTTTCTAATTATTCTAATAAGTAGTTCACCAATCATATGACATAAGCAAGTTATATAATAATATCATAAACATTTCGCAATCGTTTCTTTACTCGATGTATGGTGGCAAAGTTAATCCTCGGAATAGGTATCCATTCAAATAAGATCATCATCCAGCCCCTGCTTAATGAATCTCGCGATGATGTTTCTAGGTAAAAGGGTATTGATTTTCGACCGACAAGTCATCTAGAATCCGTACTAATATAAATCATATATCAGAAGGTTATAATGAGGAAAATGTTTCCATTATGACTAATCGTATCATTAATGCTATGCAATGTTTCCAAGTTTCATTTAAACTTAAACTCTTTAATAAGCTCATTTTTAGTTATATGATGCATACCTCATTATCTCGGTATCTTTGTACTGCGGAAGCAACGGGACTAATACAGTCTAGTTGGATAATGAAATACTGATGGTGTAACGCGATATGACGTGATAATTATATCCTTTCTTTGTCTTATTCATATCTGATTTCAAACATGATTTTATGATCCAGGATAGTTTCACACGTAAAGCTTATGATTCTTGTTTCCGAAATTCTGATTCTTTTAATGAATGAATCTGAATTTGATCGATCGAAATGGATTTCTTATTTGATATCAATTGACCTAGGGCTGAATTTTGGTCGTCCGGAAATAAATTATTCTGCCTTTGTTTGTAATTTTATTACTCTCTTTGGAATCCGTGTGAATTCAAACCAATAGATGACAGCTTTCTTACTTAATTAAGTAAATTTGCAAATTTTTTTTCTCGATTATCACTTCAGGATTTATTTAGAAGACATTCACGAGGTCGATTAACAAAACCACGCACGAGACTGGTGACATAATCAACGCTTTGATAAGAATTTCCGACACGGTTTTTAACTCGTGCAATTTTATTTACTCGAAAATTTCCTTTCCGGGAATTTAAGATATTGAATGTGTTTTTTAATAATTGTTTGTTTTCAAAACAAATGACAGCAAAGAACCAATCCAAATCCGAATTTCGTTAAATTCGTTCCTCACACATGAAAATCAATTTATTTATATCTCTAATCAAAAGATTTCATCATCGTCTTTTTGTTTTTCAACTTTAAGAAAAATAAACTCGTGCTTTGCATTAGCTTTTTTATCGTGCCCAATATCCGAATCGATTTCGATGTTTGTGAAAAAAAACAATTTAATTTGCACATATCTATGATTGGAACGTTTTGTTGGAGTTGATCAATGATTGGTTTGCCGGAGTTACACCAAGTCAAAATATTTGAACCTTGGAACTTTACTCTTTTTTTACCATTTCCGGCTAAGGTCAACTGATTATTTATTTGTTATAGAGGTAAAAAATAAAAAGAAAAAGCCCAGTTAATTTTAGTAAGCTTAATATAGTATGCGTGTGAAACATTACTACGATTAGAAATTTTTTTTCCCTTTTTTTTTTTTTCATCCCATCTAATAAATTTTTCTCAAAATAAACCTCTGGTAAAACTTTTCTTATAAAAAATCATTTTTATCTTGAATGCTCTTTAAACAGATAAATTTCACGAGCACGATTTGAAGTTCATTTATAAAGCGTGAACAAAACTTTAAAATTACAAACAAAAAAATAATTAATAAACGGTTTGCAGATTGGTAAATAAGGAAATACATATCTGTTGAATAAGGAAATAGATAGACAAAGCATTAGAAAGATAACAAAATTGAGGATAAAAGAGGACATGATCCTTGAGCAAGGGGGGTACAATACAGAACAAGCCTTAACTTGATAAAGACTAACGATCAAACCTTTTTATCTCGTTTAATCTTCAATGCAAAATTACCGTTTTAGGGATATTTTTGCTTGCTGTTTTTTGACGGAATCGACAATGGTTTAAATCTGTTTGTGGTTGTTTTTCGTGAACGATGTTGATAGAACACATGTTATAAATTTTGATTTATATTGTATCACGTTTAGTTTATTCAAATTAATTTTAAAATTTACATAATATATATGATTGTAATAAATATGTAAGGTAATGCACTTTAAAAAAAATTTTTTTTTCTTTTACCATCAAATTTCCTGAAATGTACAAGTCTTTTTTTATGTTCCTTAATGTAAAAACTAGGTAAATCAATAATATAACCTAGCGGTTTTACTAAGAGGCTAAATCGATAAAACGAGAAAAGGCATTTTACCATGACAATTATGCATGCCATCCAAATCTGACATGAACGTTTGTTTATTTAACATGTATGGTTGAATCCAACTTTATCAGAAACGGGCAAAATAAGGTAAAAAAATAAAAAAAGGCCAAAGGTGAAGCATTCATGCAACAATCTTTTTAGCTTTCATGTAGATGATCACTACTCATAAAGTAAATTAAAATTTGGATTTATTTATTTTTAGGCGCGTTTTTTTACCTAAAGTTTAAGCTAGATTTTTGATGTATCAATCTCAAAATAAAATTTTTTTTTCTCACACATCTTTCTACTTGTTATCACATTTGTGCGTTTCTTATCTGAATCGATCTAAGCTAAAAATAATCTCACCCAAACAAACCTACAGGAATCGGTTAATTTAAAGCCACATGTTTTTCATGTCTTATACATCTAAATCTAAAATCTAAAAAAAAAAACTAAAAATAACAAACAATACATTAAAAATATATTGGTTAATCTTTATCATCTTAATGATAATTTTACATGATGAGAATTAATTTTTTTTTTTTTTTTTGAAACTTATATTCGAGAAATTTTGGCGCGTAAAAAAAAAAAAAAAATTATTTTGTTTATTATGCAAAATTTGAAAATGACAATTATTACTAATCTTTTATTTATCTGACTTAATAGTAATTAAGCACTTATTACATTTAAACATTCTAATTCAATTTCCTAATTAAGTATATATCATTAATTTCTGATTCTGAGATCACCGATTTAACAGGTTGTAAAAAAAAAAAAAATAATAATAATGATCGGAAATTTTCATTAATGCTATCATGCCGATTTAGTTAATATCATTAACATGCTCGGAAATTTAAACCAACGGCAACGTTCCTTTCGATTATGAGATTATGAGGTGATATTAACCTCGGTGGTTATCATCAATGTTGCCTTTAACTATGAGTCACAAAAGGTTAGAAAATATTTTTTACAATCGATGAGTTTACCGGGAAGCCAATATCCTTCTGCTATGCAAATAGACTATCTTCATAAGAAGACATGATGTTATCTACCGTCTTTCACATATAAAAAATAAATTACAATCCTTTAGAGTTTACGAATGCTACTGGTTTAAATCCGTTGCGCATATATGGATTAATGAATATCCTTGTGTAATTCTTCTTCTACGGGGACCTGGAGCTTTATCATGATAATGTTACTCGTCAGTTTTATTTTTATTTTTTTTTTATTTTTACGTAATTTAAACCATTGTTTGGAAAAAAATAATTAAGAAAATTTTCCTTTTTAAAAATTTATTTTTATAATTTCACCTGTTTTATCCTTTTATCATTATTTCAATAATACTTTTGATGTTTTCGATTATCTAATGTATAAACTTATCAATTAACACATGAGTATTTTTTTTTTTCGTTTGTTTTTTTTTTTATTATTTATTTATTTATTTTACAGTCAACCACTAAATGAAAAAATTTTTTTATTTATATGTTATTCGGCGAAATCAATTAACAAAGCTTTTTTTTTTAGGTTAGTTGCTTTTAAAAAAAAAAAATTTTTTTTTTTAAAAAAAAAAAATCTGGCAACAAACAAATAAATGAATACACTAAATTTCAAGTAAATGGTAATTACGGAAGTGTATTAATTTAGCACTGAACTTTTGTTTTATACCGAAATTATTAAAAATTAATTTGTTCACAAACAAATTTACGATGCCAATGGGGTACCCTTGTGAAACGTCTATAAAACAAACAACTAATCGACCATGGACCATTTCAATTCAGGGGTACCGCTACTTGTAAGTAATAATATACTGTATAAATTAAATATATACTTATACAAACCGGTTTTTTTCAAAAATCAATATAAAATACCCTCCTCCCCCCTTGAGTTCTTCCAACTTCACCTTTTTGTAAGTGCGTTCTATTCTTCCTTGTTTTGATTGTAAAAATATATACATATACATATAAATTTATTAAATTCCAAAAAATAAAAGAACATCGCCTACGTGTATTTTCTTTTATTTCGCTTTTTTTTTCTTAAAAATATTTTTTTTTTTTGTTTGTAAAGAAAGCATTTATCAAATCATATCCTTCTTTAAATCATCACACAATGTTATTCAACGAAATTCTGTCATCACTTAACAAAGCGGTATCTTATATTCCAAGCCATTCGAGTAACAACGACAATGATGATGGTATTCTCGATGAAAAAAAATCAATTCAGAGTGATAATGGAATGTTGGAAAAACTTAAGCGCAGCGGCAGCAGTCGAAGCCTTTTTAAGCTCACCGTTTCAATGAAGAAAAGCTGGAATTCTTCAAGCCCAAGCATCACCACTGTCTCTCCTCCAAGTCCAACACAGGCTGCGCCACTTTGGAAAGAACAAGTCGATTCAAATATTAAAGCTGAACTTCCGGCATCAGAAATCCATCGACAGGAAATTATCTATGAAATCATTCGAACTGAAAAAGCCTTTGTCGAAGATGTACGGTATCTTATTGAGGTAAATAAAAAGATGTGGATTGATGCATTGATTTGATATCCCTGCTTGCATAATATTCTAATATATGTATATAAATAAATTCCCCTCCGGGTTTTTTTATTTTCCTTTTTGAACGTCAAAATAGCATTACGTTACATCAATCCAAGATTCCGGAATTCGATTACCATCTAGTTTAATTGAAACATTTACGATATTGCCAGATATCTTACTCTTACATTTAAATGTATCATTGGTAAATATTTTTATTACTACTGAAAATAAATATGAAACCGTCGAGTAAGGAACGACGATTGAATGAAATTTAATAAATTTCTAATTTAAGGTTATTTGTTTCACAATCCTATGAAAATTTTTTTTCTATAGCAACTTCTTTGCATACAGGCAATCATGTATCCCGTCGTACCATCAATAGCGCACATTCTTCGAGACTTGGCAACTCAGTTCCAGATGTACGAATCATATCTGATTCATCACAAGATGGCAATTTCCGAGATAGCCAATGCACGCAAGAAGAATAATAAGCTTGGACAATTATTGAAAGCCTTAGAGGATGATATCCCACAGGGCAGATTTTTGTCCTTGGAAAGTTTGCTCACAAAGCCTTTCCAAAGATTATGCAAATACCCTCTCTTGGTCATGGTAAGCCTCAGAAATATTCCATCTTTAGATTAGCATGCGCTACGCCATTTTTGTGTAATGTTCGAAAAATTAAATTGTTTTTCCGAAAATTTTTTTCCAGACATTGTTGAGAGCCACTGCGCCTTCCCACAAGGATCATGCATTACTCTCAGATTTACATAATCAAATTGATTGTGCTCTTAGGGATCTCCAAGAACGCAAGGCAGAACACGAACGTTCATCGGAAGAGGATGAATTCCCACGTAAATTCGGGGTAAGTTATTCATGAAGAAAAGATATTGCTTATAATAAATATTATTGTAACGACGTTCTAACTCCACTTCCCTTTTATTTAGTCATTTGGACGTTTCAACAAGTTTACTTCAAATGGTCGCTATAAGCGTGCATACAACCTACGATAATTCATTATGCATATTACTTATTCTCTTATTGTATTGTAATAGGGGGTAATAGGCTAATATTGGAATTTGATGGTATATAGGGTTTAATTGCGGCGGGTAAAAGTTTTCATAAGTTGCTGGATTTGTTATCTGTATATGGAATGGTCTGACCGACTTTATTATGGGTTAAACATTTAGTAAAAAAAAAAAAAAAAAAAAAAAAAAAAAAAAAAAAAATTAAAGTGTATGTATACTTGTAAACATATAACGCTTTATTATTAAATTCCCCTTTTTCTATCTCCTTTTGTATTATAAATTCGTTCCTTTTAATTTTTTGAGTCGAACTCAATGAATTAAATTCCCTTGTATTAAAAGCACCCTTTTACTTTATAGAAATTTATATTTTATAATTCCTTTAATATTCTACTTTCTTTTTTTTTGATTCTTTTTTACATTCAAATTATTTTTTTTTAAAAAAAAAATTTGTTTTTAAAAAAGAAGTTTTTTCATTCTCATTTCTAGACACTTCTTTATGTATATGCATATTATAACGTTTTACATTATCTCTTTAACTTCCAAGAAAACTATAATTTTCTTGCGACAAAAAAAAAAAATTTGGTTGAATTTTTTTTTATGATGATGCCTTCTTGAAAGTTTCATTTGTAACTTTTTTTTTTGTAAAAAAAAAAAAAAGAAATTTTTTATTAATTTGTACATTCCTTTTTTTTTCTTTTTTTTCTTTTTTCTTTTTTTTATTATTTTATGATATAAAAAAACAACTGATTTAAACGATCGAAGTCTTTCAAATGAATTAAGCCATATACAATCCAAGATTTATTAAAATACTTTATTTAAAAAAAAAGCTAGGACGAAATTAGATAATGTAAAAAAAAAAAAAAAATGACATTAAGATAAAGGTGTTTGACACATTCTTTAAATTATTTATGTAAAAAAAAAAAAAAAAATGCCATTAAGATAAAGGTGTTTGATACACACTTTAAATTATTTATTATGTAAAAAAAAAAAATAATAATGCCATTAAGATAAAGGTGTTTGACACATTCTTTAAATTATTTATATATAATATTAACAGTTTATTTAGAATTTAGAAATATTAACACACATCCTTTGTTAGAATTAGACAATTTTTCTTTTTCGATAAAAAATACCTAATTTGTTTGTTGTCTTCGCTTTGTAAGGTATTTTTTATTCTTAAAAGTAAACCGACCTTTCTTACATTCCTTTATTCCAAAAAAAAAGAAAACTTAGAATATCTAGATATTTAAAATCACTTTTTAATTTACTTTTTGTATATATCTGATTTTTTCAAAAAAATAAAATATTAATTACATAGAGGTATGCATGTAAATGCAAAAATATAAACAAACCCAACCCATGATAAAATGATAAAATCAAATTCCATACAATGATGTTGAACATTTATCCGGAAGTTATTTGATATTGAATGTTTTTTTTTTTTTTTTTTTTTCAGGTATTTGTTTATGAGCGGCATGAAATAAACACGTTGAAAATTCTTTCTATAACTTGATATTTTTTTCTAAAAAACTAATTCCTATAGGATCAAAGATCTTGGGTACAGATGATAAATGTGGTAAATTGAATTATCAATAATTAAATAATTTGCCAAACTCGTCTAGTTTTGCCGTTACCCTCATCTGGCATGGCAAAATGCAAATGGTTCTCACCAGGTAAACCAGATGAGATCAGCAGGAATTTATCAAACAATCAATTGAAACTTTAACAGATGATGTACTATGTTACACAAAAAAATTTATAATGTCAAGGGTATGAAAGAACATGTTTGTTGTCATGAATGCATTCAAAATAAATATATTTAAGTTTTTTTCATTTGAAATTAATTAATGAATTCACGATACCATTTCTCATTTCCCAAAATAGGATTTTTAAAAGAATTTTTAAAGGTTTCTTATCAATTGTACTGTACATACAATAGAGAAGTACCCGAATCCAATTAATTATAATTGTAATTCTATTGTAACTTGACAAAATAATCCACTAATTTGGATGAAAGGTATGTTTTTCATGTATCATAAGTGAGGTGCATTGAAGGTGCATTGAATGTGCATTGAAGTCGCATCAAAAGAAGGAATAAAGGTTTATACGTTTTGAGTTTATTGAATACGATGTTGATAAAAATTCATCTTTTTTTTTTTATTTTTTTTTTTTAGAATAATGAAAAGAATCGAGGTACAAATAAAATTTTCATTGTTTGAAGATCCATCATGTAAGACGCACCGATTTTGTGACGTGTCAGAAATTACATTATTTACGTCATAACGTAATAAAGTTAATACTGGGCTATTATTCATTACCAAATCCAAAAAGATACGCCAAGTGGATCCCTTTTAATTGCATATGTGGGTTACACGATTTCAAATGTTTCAACTATTTTGATGAAAATAGTTTCATCTTAAATACACCTATCATTACCAAAGAAATAATTTGTGCATCCTTTCTTCAGTACATTGTGATGGAATATTTACGATCTTTGTTAAACAAGAAACCTGATTTTCAATACTTTTGACAAATGATTCTTTTCAATTAGAATCAAAGATAAGGTGATGAAATCATTTTTTCGAAAACTAGATCTTTTTTTATTAAAAAAAAATAATAATAAATTGTTATATTTAAATAATTACTAATTTTACATTGATATTCGTCCCAATCGGGTTAGAATTGGTTAGAAATAACAACCAAACGCGGCAATAAAAAGGGTTATTATTATCATTGTTCGTTATATCGATATGGTCATGCAATAAGAATAAATTTAGTATTCTTTTTTTAAAAAGAATGATTATTCGTTATGAAAATTTTTTTTTCCTTAGCAATCGTTATTAATAAGCAAATTTTCTATGGTTTTATAGTTTAACCTTTTTATCGCATCAAGAAATCAATTTTTTTTTTTTTTTAGAAAAAGAATATGCAATTAATTAACGATTTGCATGAATCAAGAAGATTTTAAAGTCTTTTTTTTACATTATGGTATAAACTATTGTTTGATCTTTTTAATTTATCATTGATTAAAATCTACGGAGTAAAACACGGATCGTAATTTGATCCCCCCCCCTTATTTTTTCATTTACGCGGAAATAAATGTAAGGGAAAAACAATAGAACAATTTTTGTTTTTCTAAAAACATTCAGATGCATCACTTTGCATTTTGCATTACTTCTTTCTTTATTATTATTTTTTTTTTTTTTTTTGTTTACAACGGATAGATAGATCATCTCAGGGGTTTTACCTAGGTTTTAGGTTATGTGAGATTTTTTAGTAAATTCTGGAATTCTGGCCTTTTTTTCACGTAACACGAATTTGGTATCGCGTATTTTCCACCTCCTCAAAGTGGCCGGAATTTACGAGGCATCATCATTCATGTTGAATATCCTGCGTCACGATCCTTCCTCTAACAAATAAAAAACTTTCATTACTTGGCGGAAAACCCGACCATTAAGCATACGCCTTTATACAGTACATACATAAATCTTAAAGATCAAATTAATTTCGCGTGATCATCTATGTTTCTAGCCAATTGAATCAACAAGTTGATTCGCATGCGAAATTTTTTTTTTGTTTGGAGACGAAAACAAGAAGCCAAATGGTCAAAATCAAGGAGACACAAGGAGATTATATGGGCGCTTATGATGATGTGTGTGGAATTCTGGAATCATAATATGTTCATTCATTGGCATTTCTTTGTTTTCGATTAAATTCTAGATACCATTGAACAAACATCCAAGTATCGTTAGCGATCACCCCTGAAACAAAAAAAAAAAAAAAAGTCTCATAAATAAAAAAGCGCCCAGTGAATTTCAGGTTAGAGGACTTTTTTTTGATGCGAAATCGCGCGGTCCAAAAGGTAATAATATCGCATCGAAAGTAAATAGATCTTGCGCGTCATGTCGTAAAAAGTGTAACCGGTCTTTGTTTGCTTTCAACAAATCAGGGAAATACATGATATGGTTTAATCGTTCACTCTTTTGGTCTTGATGATAATAAAATATCTCGAATGAAAATGGTTAAAGTAAATGATGTAAATCGTTCATTAAATCTTAAATTACTTTTTCATGCTTCTTTTTTTTTTTAAATATAGTTTGATTGAAAATCATTCTTTAACTTTTTTATTTTTTTTTTTTTTTATTATTATTATTAATTTTTTTTTTTTATTTAATCAAACAAACAAACGAAAGCGTTTTAATGGGTGGGTCCTTTGCTTTTACTATGAATGAATGAACCTAAATAATTACTTATTTTGATGGCGTGTATATTGACATGAATATCTACAAATATTTATTAATTCGGGGGATTCGGTAAAACTTAATTAGTAAACTGGGCTTGCATATCTCTCTCGATTAAGATGTGTCAAAATTTCATTTAAAGAAAAGCCTCCAATAATCTATTATTATTATTTATTTTTTTTTTTTTAAAAAAAAAAAATTAACTGGGAATAAATAACAATAACAATGGTACGTGTGACAATTTAAAAAAAAAAAAATGTCTTTTTTCGATTTTTTTGTTACAATACAAAATAAATAAATAAATAATCACAAAAAAAAAAAAAAAAAAAAACCATTAAGAATGCAACAAATAATAAAGCACACATTTTTTCATTGTAACGTGAAATTTACTTAAAAAAGTAAAGGTCGATGTCAGGTTTGAAACTCAATGGGGAAATTCTTTTATTCTATTTCTTTCCTTGGAAGAAAAAGAACGAATGGGTTTTGGTTTACGTTACATAAATCCATTTAAATAAAAAAAAAGATTTCGCTCAATTATAGGAAAAACCTATGCATAAAACTATTTTCTTTCCTATGTGACTAACTTATTTTAGATGATTATCTATATTTATATATGAATATAAAATGGTAAACTGTGAACAAATTAACCTTGGTTACTCTACATGAAATCCCTAAACAAAGAAAAGTCTGTCTCATTATCCTCTTACGCAATTTATCAAATCAGAATGTTAAAATTTTTAAGGTTCTTGTTCACTACAAAATAAAACGTATTTTTGAATGCGATATTGTTCGGTTGCCTTAAAACAGATCCAAGAGATAATGGA